CAGCAAGACTGGCACGGGTCACAGCAAGGCTTCTGGCATGGGTCGCAGCAAGACTGGCATGGATCGCAGCAAGACTGGCACGGGTCACAGCAGGGCTTCTGGCATGGGTCACAGCAAGACTGGCACGGGTCACAGCAAGACTGGCACGGGTCACAGCAAGGCTTCTGGCATGGATCACAGCAAGACTGGCATGGGTCACAGCAAGGTTTCTGGCACGGGGAGCAGCACACAGTCTTGCAGGGACTGCAGCACACGGTCTTGCATGGGCTGCAGCACACAGTCTTGCATGGGCTGCAACACACAGTCTTGCATGGGCTGCAGCACACGGTCTTGCATGGGCTGCAGCACACAGTCTTGCACGGGGTGCAGCACACGGTCTTGCTCTTCACGACAGAGCAGCATCCGGTGGAACAGCATCCAGTGGAGCACATGGTGTTGGGAGAGGAGTGAAGGGTGGCCGGAGCGAGGACCTGGAACACAAAGGACTTTGAGTTTCAACCCATCTTTCCACACTGCCCAGGCCCTCATCCCACCCCTTTTCTTGTTTCTTTGTCTTGAGTTGGAAACCCAAGATCCTAGCAGGAATCAAACCAACTCTTGCTCTGTCCCAGAGATGTTTGAACTCTCCTGGGAGCTGCCTGTTCTGTGCTCCTCCCTGAATTTCCACCCCAAGCAGCTCATTTTCCACTGTGCTCTGTCCACCTTTTCCAAGAGGCAACAGATAAACACTCAGAAAATCTGGATTTCAGGGACAGCTGTAGATCACGGAACCCCGTAACCACAGAAGACTAAAACCATGGAATTGCAAAACCTTGGAACCGTAAACCCATGGAACCAGAAACCCATGGAACCATAAAGCCACGGAACCTTAAAGCCATGGAACCACAAAGCCATGGAACCACAAAGCCATGGAACCACAAGTCCATGGAATCAAAAACCCATGGAACTGTAAACCCATGGAACCATAAACCCATGGAACATTAAACCTATGGAACCTTAAATCCATGTAATCACCAAGCCATGGAACCATAAACCCATGGAACATAAACCCATGGAACCACAAAGCCAAAGAACATTTTGGGTCAGAAGACACCTCTGAAGGTCCATCCAGCCCAACACCCTGCAGAGATCACACACAACAACCCAGCCTCAATCCACCTCTTCCCCAAAGCCAAAGAACCAAGAGAACCAAGGATCTTTGGTAGGAAGCACTCACCGTTCTTGTTCTTGCTGAGAGCTGAAGCTGTGTGAGGAGCAGAGGCACCTGGAGACCTTTTTATTGAGGTCGGAGTTGTCCTGCCGGACATGAGGTACCCCCCAGCAATCTGTGATTTACGCACTAAGCCTGTACTTATTCACCCAATGGGCCTTCATGTGTTTAGTCTTTGCCTCGTGGCTTTTGACCAACCCCTCAATTTTGGGTTATTATCAATTTGTTGTGTGAATTTTTTACAATTTTTTAATGTCGAGTTAATTCTTGTGGGACACTCGGAGGCATTGTTTCTGCCCGCTTTGCATATGGTAAGGTTGCTGTGTGGAGATGATTAATTGACATAAAAATCCTAATTAAGATTGAGGTGCAGTGGATTCCAGAGGTGTGCAGAAGCTTCTGGACGTCAGTTGCTCCTTGATATGATTTTTAAAACAGAATTCCAGGAAGTGCAATTCCATGGTCCTGTGCTTTGTGTCTGAATGCAGAAATGTTGGAGCCCAAAGTCCTTCTCTGGGGTCACCAGAAGGGCAAACCCAGAAAGTTCTCAAAGTCCCATCCCTTGCTGCTTTATCCCATCCGTGCATGGGAAAACACCGGGAATAAAATCATGAAATATCCCAGTCTTGAAGGGACCCACAGGGACCATCCAGACCAACCCCTGGCCCTGCACAGCCCCAAAACCCCACCCTGTGCCTGAGGTCATTGTCCAAACTCTCCTTGAGATCTCTCAGGCTCAAGGCCTTGCCAATATCAAACATTTTCACTGCAAATTCATTGTGGAAATTCGGAATTGGTTTTGGGTCAAATCGGAGATTGCATTTTTCCAATTCCTCTTTGGCGCATTTAAATAAAAGCAAAATGCAAAATGGCTCTGGAAGTTTTTGCATCCTGTTTATGCTCTGCATGACTTGATCTGCAAAATTCCTATTCAATTCTTTTCAGATTCCAAGATGCCCTGGAGTAATGGAAGATCCACCCACGGATGCTAATTCTGGAAAAACTCCGTGCTCAGCTCCCAGTCACCTGCTGGCAGCGATTAGCGCTGATGCTAATGATCACGTTGTGATCAGCCATTAATGATGGATGTTAATACCTATTTTGCATAAAAGCTCGGGTGTGATGTGTCCTGAGCATCTCAAGGATCTCAAATTAAACCACGACTTTATTAAAAAATGATCTCTCTCCTGTCAAGGGAAATGTTTGGTGTCTGAGGTCACCTCCAGGGGTGGAAAAGGGGGCTGAGCACCGAAGGACGCCCTGCATCCCTGGAGACCCCTCACTCTAGTGAGCTGCATTTGCTCATCCAATTCTGGACCTTGAGGACACTTTGGGCCACCAGAACCTTCCATTTGGCTCCTGGTGTCACAAATCCTCTGTTTCCCCTCAGTTCCGCTCTTGATGTTCGCCACGTCACAATTGGAGGAGCTGCTCCTCCTTCTAGGAATCCACGGGACCGAGCTGCTCCTCCTTCTAGGAATTCACAGGACCATGAAGTCACCACTTCTCCGGGCAAGGCCATCCCAAGGTCAACGTTCCAGTTCCCTCAGAGCTTAATTTCCTATTGGCTTCAGCTGCGTTAATGACCTTGAGCCGGGTGCCGCCCATTATCTCCTAATTAGTGATTGACATTTGCGCCGGCTGAGCCCCCGCGTGATCTGCAGGAGATTCCAGAGCCTCCAGAGAAATTCCAGCATCAGAAATGTGGGACATCCCGAGCAGGAAGGCGATGGAAGAGAGTTTGGCCAAAACGAGGTCGTTTTATGTTGACTTTGTACGGGTTTGGTGCATGGGTTCATCCAGTGAGCCAAAAAAAATCCCGTTGTTGCAGTTGGATGTGAACAGCAGAGGAGTTTAAAGCTCTGCAAGGTGCATTTGTAGATCGAACAGCGATTTTACAGAGGAAAACATTCAAATTAAGGCCATAAAAATGTCGCAATCGTATTTTGCTTTGAGTGAAAGGCTCTGAAAGATGCCCAGAGGAGCAGAGCTCTGTTTGTTTGGATTGGAGATCCAGGAAAGCAATCCTGAGGCAAATTCCTCCCCATTAATCCCTAGGGGTTTCCTCACAGTTTGTCCAGGTTGTGGAATCCATGGTGTCGTTATTTGAATTTAATTTTTTTAATTTGTTTACATTTTTAAATTTGTTTACAACAAAGTGTAAAGAACAGAAATTAATAAACCAGAAGTTATTTGGCGTGTCCTTGGCAGAGCAGAAATGTCCCTTCAGGCCACCTGGAGAAGAGGATTTCTCTTGCCAAACATTTGTGTTTTTTCAAGGCCTTCCCACCCTCACAGGGAACAATTTCTTAATTTTATCCCACCTAAAACTCCTCCCCATCACTCTGCAATAATTCCCTGTGTCCTGTCCTTGCAGTTCCTGAGGAAATGTCCCTCTCCAGCTTCCCTGGAGCCCCTGCAGATCCTGGGAGGGGCTCTGAGATCTCCACAGGCTCAACATTCCCAACATTCCCAGCCTGGATCCATGGGGAAAAGGCTCCTTATCAACTTTATGACCTTCTCTGGATTTGGAAAAGGAAATAAAATGTGCCATGGTCAGCGAAGGAGGAGGAAATTGGAAGCTGGGGCAGCACAGGGAAGTGAAAGTCTCTCCTTGAAGACCAAACCACAGCTGTGGCGAAACCTCACAATTCCCTCACAATTCCTCAATTCCCACCTGCAGGGAGGGCAGGAATGAGTAAGAAAATTGCTTTTTTTAGGCTCCTGTGAGGCTGAGCCACCTCTTGGCAAGGCCAGGAACCCCCAGGCAGGTGAATCATCCATTGCTCCCTGTCCCGACCTCAACTTTTCCTTTTCAACCCATTCCTCTCTAATGAGCATTTTCTCCAGAACCTATAAATAACTAATTCCAATTGCTTATTGACCAAGTGGTCATTTAGTGGCTATTGCAGCACCCAGCTCATTCCAGGCTGTTTCCCACGCCAGGGATGGGTGATGAGGGATGAATCACGCTGGGGAAACCTTCACTTATTTTACACTGCAGAAACTGGTTAATTAGGGCTGTTCCATGTTCCAAACCCTGCAGGATTTGATTTTATTTCGGTTCCAAAAATAGCAGCAGCTCTGAAGGCAGAAACATGAACACACAGGTCAGGTGGAAACCTCAACCCCCAACATCTGCTGAGCCCAGGGCAAGGATTTGTTTCCCCCAGGAATTCACCCCACGTGCTCCTCCCACCCCTGCAGGCGTTTTCTATGGATTTCACATTTCCTTGGCATTCCTCCAGCTCCGGGGATTAAATCATAATTCCAAACCCACAGGAAAACAGAGATGCCACCAGACCAGCACAGAATCCCAGACAAAAGAGGTCCCAAGACCACCAAATCCAACCTGTGCATGATCCCCACCTTGTCACCCAGCCCAGGGCACTGGGTGCCACCTCCAGGCCTTCCTTGGACACCTCCAGGGATGGCAGCTCCAAACCTCCCTGGGCAGCCCTTTCCCAGGCCTGACCACCCTTTCCAGGAGGAAATTCCTCCTGATGTCCCACCTGAGCCTCCTTTCCTCCCAGCTGAGCCCACCCAGTTCCCCCAGCCCCTTCCCCAGTTCTGTTCCCTTCTCCTTCATACTCCAAACCCTCAATGCCCCTCTTGCCCACTAATCCAGCACATTTAATGGAGCAGTGACTGAAAACATCCAGGACTGTTCATTTGGCTTGAAACACCATTTTTTATTGTCTTGCTGGAGGACGAAGCAGCAAAGCAAGAAGGGAACCATTCCCAGCATTGGCAGAGGAAAGATAAACATCTCAGAGCTCCTCAAACCGAGAGGTTTCGTCCTAAAACTGCATCACCTCCGGCAGTTTTAGAAGGTTTTTCTTGCAGAGAAGTGGCAAAGCTGCAGAGCCACGAGCACTGGGGCAAGCTGGAAGCTGTGGGTGAGGAGTGAGCTGGTGCATCCCGAAGTTGGATCCTGCCCTCAGTACTTGGGGTAGGACGACGGCAGCTTGCAGATGTTCTTGGTGACCTGGGGGCAGACTGGGGGGCAGTAACGCTGCACTGGGGGGCAGCAGGGCTGCACTGGGGGGCAGTAACGCTGCACTGGGGGGCAGTAACGCTGCACAGGGGGGTAGCAGGGCTGCACTGGGGGGCAGCAGGGTGTCACGTAGCTGAACTTCTGCACAGGCTGCCTCTGGATGGTGTAGTGACAGGAGGGCCCCGAGTGGCAGGAGGAAGAGCGGGATCCATGACAGGAGGACTCGTAGTCGTGGCAAGACCCGCGGGAGCACATCGTGATGGAGTTTTGGCAAAGCTGTTTGGAGCAAGGGATCAATGTGGTGAGAGGAGGCTCTGATTCTTTTCTTATATCTCCCCCAATTTTCTTTTTAATAATATTTTTTCTTATGTCTTCCATGAACTGTTTCTCTCCTTTTTTCACCTGCCAAATCCAGAACCAACACCCCCTCTATCCTGCTGGGTCTGCTGGGAATGCTCTGGGAATTGGGGTGTGAAATGAGGTCCCTGTGAGGCAATTGGAGCCCCAAGAGTCCACCTGCCAAGCCCCAGCTCCAGCAGAGTTTGTGTCACCCAAGGATCTCTCTGGGGGCTGCACCTTTCCCGTGATTCCTGGGAATCCTTGTCCTCCATCCACCATTCCCATCCCTCCCTCCCTCAGCACAAACAGGAGGCACTTCCCTAAATCCCAACTCCCACAAAACCCATAAAAACCCCTTGTGGACTATTTAAGAACAGAAATGGCGAAGTTGATCTTACCTTCTTCAGCTGCAGCGAGAAGATTCTGGAAGCAAAGGCGAGCGACTGCGGAGGATGGGGCTGAGGGACCTTTTATCCTCTCCCGAGGTTATTTGGGGTGTGAGGCACCTCGTCACAATGACACCTTAATTAATTCCCCGCTCAATCCCGCAGATGTTTGCACTTCCCCTGATTTTAGGTGTTCCCTCCTTGACGCACAGGGCCCCGTCCTGCTGGTGATTCCTACGGGAGGGATTTTGGAAGAGCAGCTCTCTCCCATTTCCTGGAGACTGACGGGTGTTAATTAGGCATGAGGGACACCCGGGATTGCATCAGGCACAGAAAGCTCTCAGAAACGCTGACTCCTGGGGTTGGGTCCCCTGTTGGGTGCAGGTGACAGCTCAGGGTTTTAATTCCCCTGTTGTTGAGTGCCAAGAGGAAATGGGATTAGCGCCTGTAATTCCTGGGGATGGCACAATGCTGGAAAATCCTGCGGGATCTTCTCGGCTCCCTGGGCTGGCAAGAAATGAAATGTTCCTGGTTCTTCACGTGTCCCTCAACTTGGCAGATGACTGGGATGATCCCATTGGGTTGTTCCATGTGAATCACAGGTTATTAAAGAGAAAAACGTCTGACCCTGAGCTCTGTATGAGGTTTGAAGATATTAAATTTTCCCGTTCTGTGGTTTCTCTCTCCTTCTGTGATCCCTCAAATTTTTTTCACTTGACTTCACCCAAGGATTCAGAGAAGAGGAGATGAAGTTTGAGCAAATATTGAGTTTTGTCACTCCTGGTGGAAGTTTGGGTGCTAAAGCTGGATTTATGGCCCTGTTTGTCTCAGAGTTTGAAGTGTAAGAAAATTAAACTCCTCAGCCTGGGAAAACGTTGCCCATTAGAGCAATTCACTGACTGGGAATGGGAGATTTCCCAAACTGGGGGTGTCCCACAGATGTTCCCAAGGGTAAAGGCAGCCAATTCCTCATGGGGAGTTTTGTGGATCAAGGAAGGATGGCAGGAATTTCTCAGGGACCTTTGGTGGCTCAGGTGAGGCTCCCTCAGCTGCCACCCAGGTGACAAAGAGGAAACTCATGTGACAGTTCTCCTTTTGCCAAAATTGATGCTCTCTAAAATCTTTCTACCTCCCCAAGACCCTTCAAAAACCACCCCAAAAAACATCTCTGAACCTTTCAAATTCAAGGCCTGCTCAGAAAAATCTCAGAAGTGTTCCAATCATCTTTTGCTCACAGTTCTTTCACAGGAATTTGGGCCTTCTGTTTTCAGAGGCTCAGGGGCTTTCAAATATTTGAAAATTTATAACCAAGGTCCGAAACAGAGTTTGGAGTGAGTTATTACATATTGAGAAGTGGCAATGTGACGTTCTTATCCCCCTTCCATTAAATTTCCTGGAATCACTGAGGTGGGAAAAGCCCTCTGAGATCATCGAGTCCAATATTTGACCATCTCCCCCTTACCTCTACTGACTTCCATCCATTCCCAAATGAATGTGGGAATTGTTTGCCACCAAATTTTGGGATACTTGGGAAATAAAAAGAAATTTGAATTGAAAACCCCTGAAAAAATTACCAAAAAAAAAAAAAAATCAAGGAAAATGAGAATAAAAGAATTCAAAGGCAATGAGGGTCTCATGAATCAGATTTATTGTTTCCCACACCCAGATGAGTCTGAATCAGAAGCACAAGACAGAGAAAGATTCCCAACAAATAATTACACCCTGAATAATTAGAAAAGGACATTTCCGGAACAATTAGCAAGAATGACACCATAAATGTTAATTAGGAGAACATTTCATCCCCACATGGCAGAGACCCGGGGGTTTCAGCGTGGACGAGACGAGCCGAGGTCGGGGTGCCCAAGGGAGGAGCCGGCGGTGCTGGTTGCCAGGGCTGGCTCCTGTTCAGTACTTGGGGCACGCCGGTGGAAGGTTCCAGATGTTCTTGGTGTACTGGTGGCAGTAGGGCACCTGGGGACAGCAGGGGACGGCAGGGGGGCAGTAGCGCTGCACGGGGGGACAGCAGGGGACAGCGGGGGGACAGTAGCGCTGCACGGGGGGACAGCAGGGCGTCACGTAGGTGCATTTCTGCACCGGCTGCCTCTGGACGTAGCGGCAGGAGGGCTCGGGCTCGTGGCAGGAGGAGCGGGACCTGTGGCAGGAGAACCAGGATCTGAGGCAGGAGGAGCGGGATCCGTGGCAGGAGGACTCGTAGTCGTGGCAGGAGCTGCGGGAGCACATCGTGCTGGAGTTTTGGCAGAGCTGGAGGGAAGAGAGAGACGGTCAGGCTGGGACAGCTGAGCCCTCGTTGGCTCTTCTTTGGGCTGGGATGGGAAATGTCGTTTCCCTCTGTTTTGGGGGGTACAAAACATGGTGACCCTTCCTTTTGGAGGACACTCCATGACGGTGTGGCTCTGATGGGAATTTCCCTCCCAGGATGCTGCTGTTGGATTTTCCAGGTAGAATTTCCCTCTAAAACTGCTCTGAATTGTCCGAGCTCTCACTGCCTTCTTCACCTGGGAGTGAATTCCTTGCTGGCTCCCAAAGACTCCCAGATCTGCTCCTTCAATTTTTCCTTATTTTCTGCCATCCCACCCATGACTAAACCAAGCACTCCTTGTGCCTGTTCAAACACCCAGCCATCAAAAATAAAGAATCCCTAAGACAAAGGCAAGGTCTAAATACAGAACTCTGTGAACTTCTGCTGCTCAAGAGTAGATAAATCAACAAAATCCAACTCACCCTTGGCTGGAGAGCAAGAGGAAGAGCTCGTGGAGCTGGTGATGAGTGAAGGATGGACAGGGGATGCCGGACTTTTATATCTCCCAAAAGGTTGTCCTGGGAATTAGACACCTCTTGGCAATGCTGACACAAACCCTCAAATTCATATTTATCTCCTGTGTCTCGTTTTTAGCATTTCCGACCTGACGCAGTCAGGAAAAAAACCCCAACGATGACTTTTTCCTCAGCGCTTTAATAAGTGAGGAATTTCCCAATCTGCTTAGAAGGGAATTTTGGAGGCAGTTGCATATTCCCGTGGCAAAAATGAACCTATCCCTGGAGTTATTAAGTGATTTGTAGTTGGGCAACTGGGATTGCATCAACTCTGGAGGGTTGACTCCTTCCCCACATGCTGCCCCTGGTTCTCCGTGGCAGAGTCAGTTTTTGATTGATAGGTTTTTTTCCCCTGACACAAGGGACTGTAATTAAGAGCCACAACTCCCAGGGACTTCATTAGAGGGAGGTCCTGGTGACTACCTGGGACCCGACGCCTCGACTCCGGAGGTGACGCCAGAACGACGTCCCCAGTCCCAATTTTTTCCGTTCCGTTTGCCAAACGTCAGCTGTTTTTATGTTTGTGTCACAATATTTTCCTCCTGGATGGGGGAAGGGGTTCAAATCCTCAGCAGGAAATGTTTGTGTGAGAATTTTGCCTCTTGTCAGTCCCTTGTTTCTATGAGGTCTCATTTAATTTAAGCAGATTTGTTCTTTTTATTCTTTCCCGTGTTTCGATCTTTGGCCCCAAGTTTGTCTCAGAGCAGCCCAAGGTTTTAGAACAATACAATGGGTGATTGTTCCTTTCCTGTGACTTTTATCCAGGTGAGAGCCACAGGAACAACTCAGAGGTTCTTAAGGGTCCCTCCCCACCCAAAACTATTTTATGATTCTATAAATCTTTGCATTTATTTGTCAGGCCATGGTTCAGAAACCCAAAAGCTTTTCGGAAAATCTTTTAGAGCTGAGGAAAATCTGAAGTCTTCTGGAAGCTTGCTGTGATGTAGAAACGCTTCATCTGGGTGGATTAAACTCCTTTTTTGGGTAGGCCCTTGAGTCAATTCTTCGTCAGGCAGGAGGAATCCACGGAATCAGGGAATTGTGGAGTGACTTGGGTTGGAAGGGACATTAAAGATCATCTCATTCAGCTCCCAGAGTTATTAACTCCAGCTGAGTCTGGCTGCTGAGCTCTTGGGGACGCTGATGCAGCCACAGAGCCTGTTCTGGAACCGGTGGCTCAGCTGGACTGGGAGATAAGGAAAGTCTGAGGTTGTCAAAAGCCCAGAGAGATTTCATACTTATTTTAAGTGCCTGCAATTGTTGCTGAAAACAGTAATTTGGAGCTCAGTGAAAGAAGGAGGGCTAGGAAAAGCCACGAGGTGCTTATTTGCATTTATTAGACACCTCAAAATGTTTGTGACTCTGAGTCAGAGGCACGAACGAAGTGTGAGGAGCTGCTGAGGGGACTCAGTTCCCTCCAGTGGAACCCTGGAATGGGCTGGATGGGGAGGGACCTTCAAGATCTCCAGGGCCACCCCTGCCATGGGACACCTCCCACAGTCCCAGGGTGCTCCAAACCCTGTCCAGCCTGGCCTTGGGAACCTCCAGGCATCCATGGAATCACCTGTGCCACCCCCTGTGAGCAATTCCTTTTGGATATAAATGTATAAATACATGTTCTGTGGATCAATATGTGAATAAATGTGGTGCAGGTGAGCTCCCTGAGCCTTTTGCTGCTCCAGGAAAGCCTCTGGAATTGCTGGCTTTTATTATTTTGAAATTTTAGGGACATTTTGTGATCAGCTTGAGGAGAAAAGTGGTGACAAAGAAGTCAGAGGTAACAATTATTCTGAAGAAAAAAGGTCAAAGAATAAACAGACCATGAACTTCTTTTACTTTTGGAAATCAAATTTTATTGTTTTGGAGGCTGTCGGAGGGATGAAAAGCAGCAGGAATCATTCCCAGCTTCATGGAAAGCAACCTGAGCTGGGTCTTGCTTGCCGAGCAAATTAAACCAAATTAGAGCAAAACCAGGAACCCAATTCTAATCGCAGATGAGGAATTTGAGGATCAAATTAAAAATAGGAATAAAGAACCATCGATTGAAGCTTCAGGCATGGAGAACATCCAAGGCAGGAGCCATCCAGTGTGCCCTCAGTACTTGGGGTAGCACGACGGCAGCTTGCAGATGTTCTTGGTGACCTGGGGGCAGACTGGGGGGCAGTAACGCTGCATTGGGGGGCAGCAGGGCTGCACTGGGGGGCAGTAACGCTGCACTGGGGGGCAGCAGGGCTGCACCGGGGGGCAGCAGGGCATCACGTAGCTGAACTTCTGCACAGGCTGCCTCTGGATGGTGTAGTGGCACGAGGCCCCCGAGTCGTGGCACGAGGAGCGGGACTCATGGCAGGAGGTCTCGTGGCTGTGGCAGGAGCCGCGGGAACACATCGTCCTGGAGCTTTGGCAGAGCTGGAGGGGAGAGAGGAACGGTCACAGGCAGCAGGAGCTTATAGATATTTGTTCTGGGATTCCCCATTTTCTTCCTAATTTCCGGTTCTTCAGGGGTGAGAAAGCGGGGGTCAGTGTTGTTGGGAGGTGCTTTAATGCCTCGCTAAACCCTCAGAAACTTTTATGGGTGGGACTTGATTTCCAGGGAACAATTGGCCCAAACATCAATTTCCCATGAGCCAATTGGTCCAAACATCAATTTCCCATGAGCCAAATTGGTCCAAACATCAATTTTCCATGAGCCAAATTGGTCTAAACATGAATTTCCCACAAGCAGCTCCAGACCCTCTGGTTCCTCGTGCTTGGAAACCTCCAAACCCCTTTTCCACAAAACTCTGTCTGTATTTTCTGCCCTTTCTGTTATTTTGGTTTGCCTTGAGCCTCTGCTTGAAGCTTTAATTTTAATTGGTTTTAATAATTTTTGCTCTTGTGGATAACAAGAACTTGGTCTCCAGCATGACCCAGAGGTGAGGAGGGAGTGTCCCACACTCCAATTCTACCCAAACTCATGGAAAAACTCCAAGTTTCCTTAAAGAAACTCCAGGGGAAGAGAAAAAATTGGACTCACCCTTCCAGCAGCGGGGATGGAGCTGTTTTGGAGCAGAGCAGTGAGTGAAGGAAACTGGGATGGGAAACCTTTTATACATTTCCACGGGTTTATCTGGGACATGAGGCATCCCTAATTACACATCCCAGCCCATTTCTATCCGCTGTGTTCAGCTTCCCGTATTTTCCCTTTGATGCTCTGTGCTTTTAGCATTGTAATTATTAATAGCTCATTAATTCCTTTGCCTCCCTATGAACGAGATTGGAAGGAATTTTCACGGGAAGTGACCAATGGATCTGTTTGTGGACAACGTGGATCAGGCAGTTTGTAATCCCAAATTCCTCAGGGTCACCTGGACCAGGAGCTCCACGTGATCGACCTCCATGTGAAAAAATAATTATTGATGTTAATCCCTGAGGATTAGGTTTAGGGCAGGAATTCTGCAGGGGAATTACACAATGGGGCCGGATATCTCGATGAGAGGTTTGTGTTAGCCCAAATCTGTCCTTCAGTGATCATTCCAACCTGCCTGCCCCGTGTGGACCAGCAAAGACTTCTCCTCCAGGTGTCCACCAAAGCCGCAGGTGCTGCCACCAAACCAGAGTGGGTTCCTGTCCATGGTCCACAGGTTCTGCCACCAAACCTGCCCCAGAGTGGGTTCCTGTCCATGGCCCACAAGTTCTGCCACCAAAACTGCCCCAGAGTGGGTTCCTGTCCATGGGGTCACAAATTTTGCCACCAAACCTGCCCC